AGATAACTGCGGCAAGATCGGGCGGCGGTTGGGCTGCGGGTGGGCTGCGGTTGGGCGGCGGTTGGGCGGCGGTCAACGGCGGGTTGTTGGGGGCGGTGTTTTTGGGGGCCGCGGTGTGGGCGGCAGGCGGCTACCGCGACGAGTTGACAAGGCCTGAGGCCATGCGGGCCGAAGGAGGGCGGCAAGGCGGCTGACGCCCGGCGGGGTGGGCGCCCGGCGCATGCGCCACACGTGCACGGGCGCTCCACCTCGGGCGCGTGCGTGGCGCTGCGTCGCTGCCAGCGGGGGTCCTTTGGTTGGGGCGCCATTTGAGAAACGGCCGAGCGGGCGTCATGGATTTTGGGCTCACGTTGAGGACGGCCTTGCGCTTGAAAAATGCCAGGGCAGCGCGGTCATACACCCTTTGGGAGAAGGGACGTTTGGGGGAAGGCAAGTTGGTGGCGCAGGGGAGTGAGTGGGTTCAGGGCAAAGGGCGAAGGGATGAGCAGGAGAGGGCGGCGGAGACGGGTGCCTGGACGAGGGGGTCGTTGCACATGCCGCGCCCTGGCCACCCTCCAGGCTATTCATGACCGACAAGATCCACTCCATCCAAAGGGAGCCAAGTGCACAGACGCCCTGCCAGAGGCAAAAACTACACAGCATCAACCCCGGGCGGCGCGGACCCCCAGGCGCACCTGGCAGCATCGAGCTCGGTGTCATAGCTCCCGAGGTACAGCTGCTTGCCGCGGCCGCCAGGCTTGGCCGCCACCCCGTCGCTGCCCGCGGCCGGCGACGCGCCGTCCCAGATCTGCGTGCAAGAGGCGAGGGGCGGCCGCTCGAGGTGTGCACACGTGCATGTTGTGTGCATGCGCGCGTGTGCATGCAAACACGTGCATGCGGGGCCGCCCGAGGCCACGGCTCGAGCATGCCATGCAGAGCACAGGGCTCCGCATGCGGCCGTCCCCCCCATCACACCGCATGCCGCCCCATCCCCGGCCCCGCCCGCGGCTCACGTGCGCCTCCCATCGCCCGGTGCGCCTGTGGCGCGTGACGCCCTTGTAGCTGCTTGTGGAAGGGCTGGCGTTCTTCCGCCGCTGAATGCGCTGCACTGCGCTCGGCGCCCCCGCCTTGCTGCCCCGCAACTGCCGCGCTGCCACGCGCCCCGGCGGCGCAGACGGGTCCGCGCCCGGCGGCGCGGCGGCCGCGGCCGCGGTTATCGCGGCGACTGCGCCGGCCGCCGCGGCGGGGGCGGGCGGCGCGGTCGGGCTAGCGGCAACGGCGGTGAGCTGCTGCTTCAGGCCCGGCGGCAGCACCAGCGCGCGCGCGCCCGGGTGCGCCGGCGGGAGCCCCGCGGTGACCGTGCTCGGCGGGGCCGACCGCACCGCTGCAGAGGCCCCCAGCAGGCGCTGCAGGGCTGTCGTGGCCGTGGACTGCATGAGCGCCGGCGACAGCGGGACATTGGGCGGCGGCGGCAGCCAGTCGTGTGGGCCGAGCGGGGCCGCCGCGGGCGGCTGGTCCTCGACCGCGGGCGCGTCCCCCTCGGCCGCGGCTGACTCGCCTCCAGTTGCCAGCGCCCGTGCCGCTGCTTCCTGCTCCCCCTTTTCATCCTCCGATGCTTCAAACTCCTCTTTGAACCCCTGCGGCGGCGAGCCCTCGTCGCTGCCGCCGCCCTCTGACCCATCCAAGGCAACTCCTGAAGCGTCGCCCGAGGCGCCACCCGCGGCCGCCTCGGCCCCAAGCGAAGGGCCCTCGCCTACCGCTGCAGCGCCGCCCTGATGTGTGTCCTCGGCGGCTGCGGCGGCGATCGCGGACGGCGGCGCGGCGGCGGGCGCGCCTGCCGTGTCATCCGCGGCCGCCGCGCCTACTGTCCCGAGTGCGTCTGGCCGCGCCACCCCAAGGGCCTCCTCGCCCTGGAAGTCCTCCTCCATGGATATACGTTCTTGTGGGGGTGACTGCAACGGCGACGGAAGCTGCGGCGACTGCGGCAGGGCACCCGCCCCAGGCGCGGGGGGTGCTGCTGCCCCGTTTTCGTGCGCTGATGTTCGCGACGAGTCAGGCAGCGGCGACGCGAGCGCAGCCGTCGTGCTGGTCGGCGCCGCTGGGCTCTCGTCAACCTTGGGCCTTTTCGTCGTGCGCTCTGCCTCCGCCTGACCAGGGCCCCGCTTAGGTGCAGGTTCTGCCATGGCTGCACCCTGGGCCAGATGGTACTTGGGGAAGCACAGGGAGCTCTGAAGGGCCCCAGAACACTGTGTGAGTGCTATGCTAGCTTGTACAAAGACCTCGGGGTCCGGGGCCGAACTTAAAGCCCGGTCGATGAAGTCTGAGTGCAATCTGGGTGGGAGCTGCACCCCTTTGAGGCGCACGTAAACGCTTTGAGTTGCCTACAGTGGCTAGATGACACCAGAGGGGTCGGGCGAGGGCCCTTGCGAGCCCTGGCACCTGCCCGAGGTTCGACGCAGGCGGGTCGTGGGTGAATGAAACCGTATCATGGGATAAATAACTATTCCACATGTAACCGAGCCGTTGTGTAAGCATGGCAAACGCATAAGACGCGCGCCATCCTCGTTCTTTGCTGCTCCTTTCAAAGGGCAGAGGCGTGAGCGAGACAGAGACGAACAGGAGACGACGTGAAATTAAAGGCTCTGGTTTCTATTGCAGTTAGGCTGTCGCGCGCCCCTGATCTGGGGATGCGTATTTGAGCAAGCCGGGGAGCACTTGGCTCAAGCAGCGCCAGTGGAAAGCACCAAACAGGGTTTCATTCCGCTCACAATTCGTTCACTGCCACGTGCACCGCGTGCTATTGCCTATCCCATGGTCTGCACCCACTCCACTCCACTGCCTGCCTCGGCAGCGCGAGGTGGCGTGGCACAGCGTTGCGCATTGGGCGGCCCTGCTACGCCATGAGCAGAAAGGGTGCGCAGGGCATAGGAAATGCTGTGATGCAAGGTTTGACCTCAGGTCATTGTACCCCAACACACACGACGCTCGGATAAGCCATTTGTCCGTAAGCACACTGTGGTGACGTGGCACAGCATGCTGCACACTCGCTGCCAAAACTACGAAAGTGGTGCCGCCAGAAATGGGACCAATCTTCTTCCCAGTGTCAAAGGTGCCACTGACCAGGTGCGCCCGTGCGTGGGCATTGCTGGGTGGCACAGACAAGATAGACCACCAGCCCTCGAAACAGCAGTCAGTAGTCAAGAGCCATCACACAGCTGCCTAGGTTATGCAGGGACAATGCGCGCACTTGTCGCAGGCTTTCGTCCCCGTAATGATGTGCGCTCCTGCCCGTTCGACATGCACCCCTGGGGTTGGAGTCTGCGGCGCACAAAGGCGCACAAGATCTGCCAGGAATGCAGTGGCGCGTGCGGTTGCGCGCACAATCACATGCACGCACCTCAATTGACACGCAATCACGCGGCTCACAGCGCCAAACAGGGCGCGTATTCGCAGACAAGGGACCCAGCAATGCACGCGACGCACCCCCGCAGGTGCAATGTAATGTAGATAGCATAGAGTTATTTGCAGGTGCCCCAAAGCTGCGACCGGCCAGCGCGGCACCTGGGCCCAGCCGGCCCGCCGCGTCGTCGGCCGCTGTGGGCCTGCTGAGCGAGGGCTGGCGAGGCGGGCGGGGCAGCGCGGTGCTGCGAGGGCGTCGTGGCAGCGGCGGTGGCGGCAGAGGTGAGGGCCGCGTGAGCCCTGGCGCTGCATGGGGCGTTGATCATTTGCTTTCCATCCAGGCTTTCACGCCTAGACCGCAGAGCATTCCTGCTCTGGCTGTCCCATCGCCTTCGCTTGCTCCCCTGCCTCATCGCGCAACCGCCGCACCAGCCCAGCACCAGCCCTGCGGCGCGCTTCTGGGCCTCATGCCCAACGCAAGAGCCTGTCAGCCAGTTGGGCGGCGCTCCCATGTGCAGCTGCCCGCGGCTACGCCTTTGCGGCGCGCCCCTGTTTGTGAGCCGCCACTACTGATGATCTCACCGTCAAGGTCAATTCGAGAGCCTTAGCCTTGCAGGGTGCGGTAATGCTTGCTTGTTGCGATGCCTGGTGGCTACCACATGAGCACAGCGCCCCTGTAAGCAGCTGCAATTTGATATCTGGTCCGACCAGTGCTGAAAACATCACCGCCATATGTAGCGGTGCTGCGCCGCGCTACCCTGGCTGCGCCTGCTGAGCCCAGCCCCTGGCTGCGTTCCAACTGACAAGTATCTCCATCACCACGCTTCTGCCACACGTCCTGCATTGGAATCAGTGCCTCTATGCCTCAGGAGGAGGCCCCAACGTGACCCTGAATATGATGATGCTCCTGCTATGGCAAACGCAGTGGCGCTTTCGCCCACAGCTGCAGCACGCGCACAGTGTCGTCGCACTCGACACCGCTGATTCGGGCTTCCAAAGCCGTTGCATGCGCTTGAATGCAACAAACTTTGTGTTTGCGCGTTATCGCGCCCGTACAGGTCCCCATAAATGCGCCATGGAGCGCTCTAGAGCGCCTGCTGCTGAGATGCGAACTGCCAGCTATCCGCACGAGGTACCCACCCAAACGAGCGACATAAACCCTATGTTAGGCACGAAGAACATAGTGACTGTCGAACAATTCGCTCCTGCATGGCGCGGGCTATACCGACACGACGAAGAGACGTAGCAGCAGCATCCGTAGTATCTGTCAATGATGCGATAGATTGCAGTGTTGTAGATTGTGAGCGAGTTTGCGTTCGAGCAGTGCCTTGGAGAAGTCCGGTGGAGAGGCTCGATCCGCGAGATCGAGCCCAGTGACCCCGTGAATGTATGTACAATAAACGTACATCCCAGCTGCTTGCTGCTTGTCAGGGGCCCACAGCGTTTTGGCGGTGATGTATGGGAGTGAGACACACCACAGTTGAGCTCTGATGAGCAGCGAGTGCCTACCTCGGAGAAGTCCAGCATTGGAGAGGCTCGATCCGCGAAACCGAGCCCAGAGACCCCGTGAATGTATGTATCATACACTTACATCCCAGATGTTTGCTGCTTGCCAGGGGCCCGCAGCGTTTTGGCGGTGATGCATGGAGCGAGACACACCAGAGTTGAGCTCCCAGCAGCGCCTCGGAGAAGTCCCAGCATTGGAGATGTTGAATCCACGAGAATCAGCCCAGAGACCCCGTGAATGTATATATCATACACTTACATCCCAGCTGCTTGCTGCTTGCCAGGGGCCCACAGCGTTTTGGCGGCGATGTATGGGAGTGAGACACACCACAGTTGAGCTCCGAGCAGCGAGTGCCTACCTCGGGGAAGTCCAGCATTGGAGAGGCTCAATCCGCGAGATCGAGACCAGAGACCCCGTGAATGTATGTATCATACACTTACATCCCAGCTGCTGCTGCTTGCCAGGGGCCCACAGCGTTTTGGCGGTGATGTATGGGAGCGACACTCACTAGAGTTCACCTCGAAGCAGTGCCTACCTCGGAGCGAGAAGTCCAGTGGAGACACTCGATCGGCGAGACAGAGCCCAGAGCCGAGGGCCCAGGACCCAGAGGCCCCGTTACTGTGTCAACTAAACATTTACACCCCAGCTGCTCGCTGCTGGCCAGGGGCCCACAGCATTCTTGCGATTTTGTAATATGGCAACATGTCAAACACACACCAGAGATGGAGCTGAGGAAGCTGACGCCAAAGCGCTGGCGGCACAAGGGCAGTGCTAGTGTGGAGCTGAGCACATGTGTATTTACTTTCATCCGGTGCTGTGGCGAGCATGTTTGACGAGGGGCCGTGCGCCGAGGTTGTCGATGTTCAGACCGCATGACGGGTGCGCATAGCCTCGGGCTGCCCGGGTTGCCACATCGTACTCAAATTGCTCGCCATAAATCGTGTTACACACCTTCCGTCGGTTCTTCACCATTTTTCTCTACGCGCACTCGTTCGTGCTGTACGATCTCCGTGGTCGAGGGCCGCTGGATCAGCTTTCCTCGGAGACGTCCCGAACGGCGCAGAGCTGTGTCACAGCGTTGGAAAGTCGCACGTTTCCAGAATCAGGTGCGAGCCTGCGGTCGCACTGCGCTCAGATCGATCGGTGGGGCCCTTGTTGTCGTTTCCTCGAACAGCGACAGGCAGCACGGCCTCGCTCTCACCACCGCGTCTATTCCAACTTGTATCAAAGACATTATCAACGACATGGCCTGCAGCCACTGCCGTCTTGCGGGAGGTGCGGCGCGATTGGGGGCTGACCCTCCACATGACTGCACTAGGCATGCTTGGCAGAGCAGAGCGCCGCACGACGCCCTGTTTGCTGCACTGCTGACGACCGTCCTGCTGTAATTGTCCTGTCCTCTCGCTGCAAGCCGCATGCACAGCCTCAACCCAACCTACGCAAACCCCTCGCCTTGCCTCGCTCTGCAGTGATGCTCCTGCTGCTCCTGCTCCTCACCCCAAGCACCCCAGCCGCCTTCCTCATCGCCCCCGTCCGCTGGACGACAAGCGAGCGGGCCACCACCGTCTTCATGCCGCGTGCCATCAAAGCCATCCCCGGCACCATGGCGGAGCCGACCCCTTTCAAGCGCGCCGCCTCCGCTCAGCCTGGCAGTGTGCCACACCAGGATGACGCCGACGCGAGCTTCAAGGGCGTGGCCATTGAGGGCGCCCCCTCGACCGTCGGCGCCCCCACTGCCGCCGGCCAGGCAGGTGGCAGCGCCTCTGCACCGACCAGGCGGGGCTCGTGGTACCGCATGCTGCTGGGGGAGCGACCGGCTGCGGCCCTGAGCACACCCACGGTCAGCGCTGGCCGCGGCCACACCGGCTTCAGCTCTGCCCTGGCCGGTATTGACCCTGCCTCTAGCTTTGTCGACGGCATCGACGGCCTTGTCCCTGAGCAGGGCGGCACAGGCCAACTGGGTTGATGCACCGCCAGGCCCTTGCCCCACCCTGGGCTGCAACCACTGCTGTCAAGCAGCCCTGCCCTCCTTGATGCAAGCAAAAGCAGTTGCACGGTGTCGAGTTGAAATTGAATTGCGCACGCACGGCGTGCGCAAAACCGCAAGCCCGTATGAGCGTACATGTACCTGCGCTCCAGTTCTATGAACAAGCAACCGCGATGAACGTGCAGGCCCTCCGTCCCTGCTGGCGAGGCTTCTCTACATGTTCTCTGTGAACCCGGTGCATCACGCAGCCACTTGCTGCTGGACATATGCCTGTTTATTGTTCGAACACAGCGTGTGTTGCCCCCGCCGTCGCGGCCACCTGGCTTGCATCTGAGGGCCTCGGCCGACGCCCCACTCGCCTCCCTCGTCACCTGCTCGGGCTGAATGCACACCAGCAACGCGCCCCTGCAAGGCGGCACGGTGTGATGCGCGTACTTTCTAGGCCGTTGAGTGCAGGCGCACTGGCATGGTGCCTGTCGGGCCCCGCCACATGATGCATATTAGGAATTCGACCCGCCTGCAAAGTTGTGGGATTTGCAAACTGCCGCGCGCCGCCCGGCGCCCCGCTGGCACTGCCTCCGCTCTGCTCAGGCAGGCGCGTTTGTTGGCGCAGAGGGCTGACAGCCGCCAAGCTCGAAGGAAGGCAGGAAGGGCATGGGACGCGGGATGCCTGGTGTGGTTGACCAAGCCACCGTTGCTGATTGTGAGAAATTGTGGGACATGAGGCTGATGAGGAATTGAGTGCTGCTTGCTTTGCGGCCATGCGTGTGGGTGGCATTGCTGTTGTGGATTCTGTACGTGTGCAAACACCATGAGCCTGGGCGGCTCCAGCTGGCTATCGCCACCATTTGTAACATCATTGTACAAATCATGTCAACCTGGCGGCTCCAGCAGGCGACCGACCACGAAATCCTGTCACAATGCTTTGCTGTCAAACAAATGCATTGACACTTCTGCCGGACTCTTCGTGCATAATGGCCTTGGCCTTGCTTGTTACATCGCGTTCGGTATGCGCCGGGTACCACACTGCGGCACAGGGCGGGTGCCCCGACCGCGAGCCAAGTGGGGGGTGGCCCCTGGCCGCCAGGCGACCAGGCTGGGCACCACAGGACCGGCCGCGCACGGTGCGGTCACCGATGAGCACGGCAAGGCAGCCTCCGCAGCAAGCCACAGCCGTGTCGCCGCCAGGGCTACGACGCCTCACGTTTGCTAGCTGTTGAAAGCTGGGCCCCGTCATCATGTGGCATCAGCGTGTCGCAGTCATGGAACCCAGCACCCAATGCTGTGCTCTGGCCTGGTGTTGGGCCGCAGAGAAGGTGGTATGATATCTTCAGCTGTCCTAACAGCTGCAAGCCGATCGCAACAGCCGCGACACACGCAGTTGCAGCTGGGGCGTTGTGGCTGCATTTCTGGCTGTGTTGCAAGCTGGCAGAACCCCAAAACGTCAGACCTGTGCCGCGCAGAGCTCAGCTATAAACCCTGTCTGCTGTGTGACCGAAAACAGATGTCCGCTTTTGGCCGCAACAGATCGGAGGCTGGTGCTGAGCGTGGCCCGGCATCCTGTGAAGGATCCATGTGCTGTCCAAAACGCCAACATGTTTGGCAGGGTTTACTGCTACGGGCATGTGAAATAAGAGACACAAGGACAGCTGCAGCGCCATAATGAACTCACACGTTCGTGCCTTAGCTAAGCGCATGCGTGTAGCGCTTGCGACTGCTTTGTCGCGGCCCCAGCAATAAGATGTTGCTGCGGCACACTCCTTGCTGATTGCCTGTGCTTTGGATAAGTGCTTGTGCATTTGCAGGAGCATCATAAAACCCTACCGTTTAAAAGCAGGCACGGCTCTAACCATCGCACTGGCCTGCCAGCTATTGAGCAATGACATGAAGACACAAAGGCAATGCGCCCAAGGTGTTCCCATAGCAACCAAACGTCATGCAAAGGCACACTGCAAGCCGATCAGCCACAACCCCCTTTCACTCATCACCTCCCACCCCATCTCGTTGCCGGTGCCGCTCTCCCCATGCGCCGCCTTGGCCTTGGCAGCGGCAGCCCCCTCCAGGTGCCGGACGTACGCCGCCATTGTCATGGCCCGCTCTCGCCGCTGAGCAACGGCCGCCTCCGCCGCAGCCGTCTTGATGTAGACGCGGGAGCCCTGGACCTGCAGCTCGGCGACGCGCCGCACGACAAGGTTGAGCTTGCGGCACAGCGGCCTCCAAAGCTTCTGGCCCTTACGCCACGAGACGTCGCCCGCGCTTTCAAGCTGCAGCACCGACTTGCCGTTGACGCGCGGCGCGCTGACCCACGCCATGAGATGGGGGACGCTGACAAAGGTGCTGAGCTTGGGGATGGCCCTCAACGGGGAACCCCAACGCTCGCAGCCGCGCCAGCGGAGGCCGCGCCGTCCCTGGCTCCTGCGTTGAGCGCGCCAACGCCGCTGGTGCTGCCGCCGCATGCAACGCCGCTGTTGCCACCGCTGCCGCAAGAGCTGCCAGAGAGCGCCGCAGCTGCTGCTACTGCTGCTGCTGCTGCAGCCGCAGCAGCTACAGCAGAGGAGGGACCTGATGCCGAGCTGCCGCCGCTGTCGCTGCCCTGCTGCATCGTGGCTCTCAGCACACTGGCAACCAGCGCGCTGAGGCTCCCAGCGCCAGAGCCGCCCAAACCTGGGCCCAGGTGTGCCATGCTGTCCATCGTGGGGTTGAGCAGCTGGCGCCCCTCACTTGATAGGGGCGCAGCAGCGCTGCTGATATTCAAAGCAAGCTGCTGCTGCTGCATCTGCTGCTGCTGCTCCATCTTTGTGCGCATGCCAGCCAGCTCTGCGCGCAGCTGCTGGACTTGCTCGCGGGTGCTCACGGGCCACACTTGGTCGTATGCGCCAGCCTTGAGCTTCTGCTGGTGCTGCGCCAGCACGTCCCTGGCGTGGGGGTGGCAGCCAGACTGTACAGTGACCACCCACAACCCTTCTTGAGATGGACCCAGCACGTTGCATGCCATTCACTTGGCAGCACCTTGTATTCTGCCTTATATTGAAATCATGCGTGGTTCCCCGCATGCAAGATCCCACCTAAACTCCTGGCACTGAATCAGGAACCTGTGGATGGGGTTTGCCTCGGCGGCCGCCCGCCCGTCTGTCTCTACGCTGCTCAGCAGCTCGGACGCGTCCTGCACCACCACCTGAGCCAGGTGCGCCAGCACCTTGGGCAGGGGAGCGCTGACGGCGGGGGCCTCGGTCCCATCGCTGCCACCTACGCACAAGGAAAGGGCCCGGCATGCTTATCGGTTCTTTGGGGTGAGAAGGTACAGGGGAATCAACCCGCACACAGTTGGCCGCAATCTCCTTGCAACACCCCCTACGCACCTGGTAGCGCAGCGTAGCCAGGAAGGGGAACACAATAAGAATGAGGCTGTCAGAGAGAACGACGCAGAAGCGCTCAGGAAAGAAGGCTGCTGGGTTGTCCTTGACCCAGCCGCCGGCTGCCAGCAGGCCCTTAGGCTTGAAGATCTTGATGTAGCTCAGCGGAAGCGCTGTGCGCAGCCAGCTGCCAAGCCGTGCGGTAAAGCATGGGGTCAAAGAAGACAGAGGGGGGGATGAGGCAGGGTGATAATGGAGAACCAGCAGTGCGCCGTGAGGTGCGGTGCGAGCACTTCTGCTGTGCACCTCTGTGCCGGTATGCACTGCAGTGTGGCAAGGAGCCAGCAGCCACAGGCCCGCTGGTTCAATCAGGTAATGTCCTAGTCAGCATTCTCACCCCGTCCTGACAGCCCTGCTTGTCCAGGGTGCGCGCCGCAAACATCCGGAAAGCATGCGTCACCTGAGCCTGCGTTGACATTATGGATAACATGCATGGGTGCAAGCCAACTGCACGCTCCGCTTGAGGTACAGGAGAGTGTGCCAA